AGAAGTTATTAATAGTTAAAGTTTTTAATAATTTAAAAAATTGGCGTTTAATATTAAAAAAAAAGTTAAGATATATGCTTCATTAACCAATCAAAATTAATTATACAAAATTGGCCAATCAAAAATGATTATGTAAGCATCAAAAATTGGCGCTCTATATGTATAGATTGGATGTCTCATGCTGTCCGGTACTGTATAAAAAAGATTTCAGATCAGATTTGCTGTAATTTCCTACTATAATCGGTCATATTTTTTGAGTAATCTAACGTAACTTTGTTGGAAGTTTATTAATATTAAATACCAATCTTAAACGAACAAATATTTTAAATTAAATATTTAAATAAAGCATACAAAATAAAGGTTTTTAAAAAAAATGTGTATATATCGATCCAACAAACGCCGTTTTCAAGCCAAGAGGGCAGCACAGAAAAGTTTGGAAGTTTGGCAGAATATTTGTAAAAGTCATATAATAAAAGAAATTAATTCGTATTTAAATAAAATGAATCAATCCCAATTAAATACAACTCAGCATATAATAAAAAAAACATGTTGAATCATCGATTGATAAAAATAACATCAATTCTAATTTAAAAGAAATTCGAAAAAAAGTAAAAGGCAAAGAAAAACAACCAATTAGTGAACAGACTAGTGCAGAACAGCTTTTTTTTACAATTTTTTTCAAAATAATTTTATGTAAATATGCATAATAAAATATCGATAATATTGATCATCATAAATATCGATCGATATTTTAATATGGGTCCATATATAGTTTTGATCTACATAGTATTGCGCACACCCTAATGACGGGCCCATATTATTTCACCGACAATCATTTCATTTAGCTGAGGTAAAAATATATACCTGCAAATAATCAAATGTATAACCCTAACCCTATGTGATGTCGGCTAAATGAGCATCCGGTGAAATGACTGCCCTTAGTATCATACCATACCTCCTTTTTATAATCGGATGATTATATACGAACTTTCGTATAAATTATGTTGTAGGTGGATTTGGAATTCTGTGGATTCGGAATATACTTAAGTGGATTTCGAATTCCGAAACGATTACGGATCTTAAAAATATCAGTCATAAATCATACGTATTTAAAAAAATCGTACTGTATTTGAAAAAAGTTTCAAGTTAAAATGTCAACCAGAATATTCTTTTAAGACAAGTTTTTAACGCATTAGTTAAGTTTTTGAAAAAAATCAGTTGCTAGACGTAAAACTTTTATTTCACACTCGATTACATGAGCCTACTAATACAAATTTGGGAACTTCAAAAGGTCGATATTTAGATTAAAAATTCTTTCAACTATGATAGTTGGGAACTGCTATTGTATGTGTTGCAATTCGAAATTCGACCGGTCTACTTTATCTTGCAAAATAATCAAGAAATTGTCAAATGAAACATATCACTTATGATGTAAAATTAAATACTTGTTAATGCCTATTGGATTACTAGAGATGAGTAAAATTATACTACTGGGACCAACAGAATATGGAAAGCTTGAAGTTTATCAAGCCAAATTATTACTGTATGAAAAACCGCAAGAATGTACTCCGTTTCTACTATAACCGGCACAAAATGCGATTGTAAGATGAATAAAAAAAAAAAATTCTTTTAGATGTAGACGCTATCGTCCCCATAATATTAAGTGTAAAAATAGAGATAACATATTTATTGTTATAACGATAATAAAATTCTATTTAGTTCTGAGATTCGAAATTCACTTAAGTTTATTCTGAATCCACTTAAGTAGATTCAGATTCCGAATCCACTACAACATACTGTATATATCTTTCTCGAAGATTTTGCAGCTTCAAACTCTTCTAAGCCATTATATTACTATTTTTCACTTTATTGAGGAAAAGTATCACCTTTACTAATATTTTTAATTCAATAGCTTTATTATTTGTAATTTCAACATCACTACACTTGAATCATACTTAAATATATCTCAGCTTCCTTACGTTCCACTTCAGGATTAGCCAATGCGACGGATATATTATTTTTGGTAGCTTGCAAATCGTTTATTGGAATTCATAAAGAAATAGATATTTATTATTGCGTTGAACCTTATTACTGTATTAAAAAAAAGTATTGTTCATATTTCCTAGCGAAGAAACTAAATGTTTAAAAAGCAAACAGATTTTTTAAGAAATGTACAGTAAGGCCATATAAAAAAATTTATTTTAGTTTTCATAACCCGGCCGGGTCAAAATTTGAAAACTTGTAAAAAAATTTTTTTATATGTTTTAATAACCGGGTAGGTTTTTAAAAAATTTTTTAAAAAACTTTTTAAAATTTATATATATAAAATCTAAAAAAAAAGCCGGCCAGGTCTGTTTAAACAGCTCTATGTTATGAAAACCAAAAAATTTTTTTTGTATAGCCTAATGCTATCGACATTATAATGTTTTTTTTAGAATCAAGTAAAGAAGTAAAAAACTTTTTTAATATTTTCACTTTTTACTTTCTTTAATACGTGTTAAACATTCGGAACAAGTTTTTTTTTTTTTTTTTTTTTATAAAGTTTTTGATGCATTGTATTTTCTGCATGACTTACAATATAAAGAATTCATTGTAGTTAAAATGTATACAGTTTTAGAAAAAATCATTATCGTTATTGATAATTAATCAAAATAATATCGAACTATAAAATTAATTGAGTTTAAAACGTAACGGATTTTTGGATGACGCTCAGTTCGTGACTGATTTTGGTGGTTATGCTAGGTTCATGAGTTTTCCCTTGATGGCATTCGTATAAAACTTTATTCTGATTGTTGGGATATAGGGCCAGATTAAGACCAAAATCAACAAAATTATCATGCAGCAAAAAAAAAAAAAAGGTGTATTAATTCGGATAATAGCTTATTCTTATTAGAAAGTTTCAAAGGAATCCGATTTCAGCTAAAATTTATCTCAAGTAAACTACGAATTTTATTTCATTTTTAATCAAGCTCCAAATGCTCTTATTTATGTGATCATTTCCGTATAATAGCTATTACGTACATAAGTCAAATAAAATCAAGACATTCATTTCTCTTTGAAGTTCGTAATTAAAATTTCAATCTCCTAAGTATGCTTTTTGGTCAAATTTGATATTTCATTACCGTATAATTTTAAAATATATGTATATTCTCCTGGATTTTAACGAAGAATTTTGTAATATGTCTTAGTTTGTAGCTAGGAAATAATACTCTGTAATCAAAAATGTTTAATTCCAATGAGCAATAAACTTTAATCAAAAATTGCCTTTAAATATAATTTATAGTTTTATTTAAAAATACAGTCTACCCTGTCAAAACTGATATACATGTATCAGTCTTAAAAGATTATCAGGTTTAAGAGGTTTAATTACTATATCAAAAACAAGCATGGTGGATTGATTTTTATCAGTTTTGACAGGGTGAACTATATATAAAGTTAATGATTTATTTTATTATGATTGTTATATTCATGGTTACACTAGGCACAATTATGTGACGCAGTAACAAATCATCTTTTTAAAAAATTCTCTTTAGACTTGATAGATACCACATCCGCGATCACTTTCTTTGAAATAATAAATCCTTTTCAACATCATACCGATATATAGAAAATATTTTGGGTCAACGTTTAACAATGAGAAAAAAGTCCCGAAATATATGTTGATATACTGTAAGCCGATGATCGCTGGCTTAGTCGATTAATATTAAGGCTTAGTACTGTATCTGACATCAAAGAAATAACTTTCGCGGCTAATATTCACATATACGCATAAGCAAAAATCATGTAATTAGTCTACCTAGTTAATACGTACTATATGATAATACTGTAATAAGTAAAGATCTCGTGCTTAATTACCAGGATTTATGCCATCAAATTTTATGTTATGCCGTACGTACTACGTATCTACGTATTAATTGAATATTAACTGATATCAAACGAATTATGTAAATCAGATATTTTTAGATTTCACATGCACCTTGCATTCATATTCGTAAATTTACTATGACTACGTAAGCATGGCTGAAATACTGAATTGGCTATTTGCCCTGAAGAAGTTCTAAAATTGGTAAAATTAAAGATGTCAAATTTTTTTTTTTTTTTTTTTAAAAAAAAAATAGTGCATTTATATGAGGCTTTGATTGTTAAATGCACAATGTTGACAATAGGAAAAAAACGTCGAGTAACTTTGTTTCTTTAAATCAAGGGTAAAGATTAATTATTTCTCAAATCGATCAAACATAATCGATTGACTAATAATGTGTACTTTACATAATAGGTGTCATTACCTAGCATGTCCGTGTACACATCTTTGATCTTTAACAATATCCCTTTCATAACACCATGTCTCGAATCTCAATACCTGTCTGAAAACGTAGCAACAGCTGCTGTGGCAATTCATGATCCACATTATAAATCCTGCATGGTTCTCGAGCACGTCGGTCTTCTCGTAATAACCACTTCAAATCATACATTCTTGATTCATTCATGTCCTACACCACCAGCTTATGGTACAATCATCGATCTGTTCACCCCAACTCTTTGTAAAAAATATCGAATCACAAATTTTTATCTACCAAAGGATAACTTAAGAGTACGTGATTTTTATATAGCTTGCGGTGGAAATAAAGAATGGGGCTGGGGAATTGATAAAAGTGGAACTTGTACTGATAGTGTTTGGAGAATGTTAGATGCTTTATTCTGTACCAAAGAAAAGGATATTTTGAGATTAGAGTGGGCCGGATTACAAGACGGAAATTGGTTAACTAGGTTTCTTACTAGTATTTTTATAGACGTTTCTTACTTTTGGATTATGAAATTATATTATGAAAATAAGAAAATTCAATGATTTAATCACGAAATTTATGAAAATTAAATAAACTTTAGGATTCTTAATCGTTGTATAAAGCATATTTCTTTACTTTTTGTTTTTTTTTCAGTTAAGTTTATTCACCCAAACAAAACTCATTCATAAATATTATACAAATGCCCTATTGGTTTAATCACCATTTCTCCAAAAGAATCCTCTTTTCAACTAAGCCTGCGCTTTTCAGCCAACAAATTAAATCATCTCGCATAATTGGTGGGCCACAAATAAAACACTTAAATTTTTCTAAATTTTCACGTTCTTTCATAATAATATCACCGAGAATTTTTTGACTTATTCTTTGTCCATAATAAACCTCACTTCCATCACTTGCAAAAGGTGATTGAGATGGTGGTACATTTTCACCTGTTAAAAAATATTTACATTCCAAAACTTGCGGCCATTCTTTACGTAATTTTTCAATTCGATTATAAAATAATAATTCGCTAAAGGATTTAGCACTATATAATAATCGAATTTTCCTTACACCCACTTTCTTCATTTGATTTTTCATGTTATCAACATTGGTATTATTTTCCACTTCTAAAATTGATGTGAACATACTTATTAAGGGATTAATACCTACTCCTCCTGCAATAAACATAACACTCTCAGTCCCATCTTCCTGCTCCTTCTTTTCATCCCAAACGAATTCTCCTCCAACTCTAACTTCAACACTGTCTCCAATTTTAGCACTTTCATGAAACCATTTTGCAGGCGGATGGGTTGAATATTTAATTGATAATTCAAACGTATTTGTAAGATTGTACTGGTATGGTGTAGAAGTTAATGAGAATCCACCAACTATTGAAACATTAGGAATGAATACGTCTAACCATTGACCCGGAAGAAATGTGAATTCAGGAATATATGAAGGTGGAGGACGAAGAAGAAATGATTTTATTGTAGGAGTTTGAGAGACGATTGAAACTATTTCAGCTGGAATTTTTGACTAATTTTGATAGTGAATTTTTTATAATACGAGAAGAAAAGAGTCAGAAAACATAATCAATAATAATATTATTAATATTATGGCTGTTAAATAAAATTTTCTATGTACGACCTTTTGTCTTTCGAGATGACTGGTTCTTTCTAGATGGTTAGGTTTCTCGATTACTTGACTAGTTTCAAGATTTTGTTGTTCAGACATTTTATAATCTCCAGTTTTTGAATTAAATGGTTTTAAAAATCGTTGAATTCTCCAATTCTGTACTGAAGAATTAAGTTTCAAAAAAGTTAAATACATATGAATATTTAAATAAGTAGTACATATTTTTAATGAGCTTGCTGATCTGATCAACGTTAAAATTTTATGCAGTTATTTTTTCCGCTCGTGACAATTCATGTGATTAGTCAATGATTGGTCAATTATTGCATTCCAAGAAGAAAAATTGAGTGGCTAAACCGCTGTCTCAGTAAACACTAGGTACAAAAGTAACGTCAGATTTTTTAATAAATCGGAATTCTTTGCCCTATATAGTATGTTGTAAGTGGAAACGGAATTTAAGTAGATTTGAAATTGGTTTTGAATTTTAGGATTAGAGTTTGGTTTTATTTTTCTTATGGCAAAACCGATTAAAACCGGGTTTAATATAAGAAAAATAAAACCGGCTCCAAATTCTATTTAGGATAGAATTATTTTATATGATCCCTACATCCTAACCCTAAGAGCCCAAAGAAATTATAAATCAATTTATTGCGGTTTGCAAAATTTTGTGAAATTTGAAGATCGTTAAAAAAAAAGTAATCACGATTTCTGATTACTGATTTCCGATTTCTTCAACATTTTTTTTGACTTTTAGATTAGACAAAATTTGAGCAATTATTATTTTGTGAAAATTTTATCATTTTTATGGAAATAAAAGTTGCATATTCATCATTTTGTAATATATTTGCAAAAATAGATGTTGCGAATTAAAATATTCAATCAAATT